TAGTATAGTAAAAACTAAAGCCAGTAAGGAAAAGGTAATGCAGCGGTGAAAAGGGATTGTAGATTGACCTGGGTCCAAAGCTCTAGAAATGTGTATATTAAAAGATGAGGCACACATTTGCTTTGAAGTTAGAACTCTCTCTGCCACAGCCCTGATTCCAGCACTGCTCATTCCGTCTAAGAACTGTTGGGGTGAGCTTTTACAAATTTCAAATGACTTCCCCAGCACCAAACTCTGATGTGTTTGGCTTTGGGCAGACCCCGAGAACCAGTTGTTTTAAAAAAGCTTCCAACTTCTCCTTTGCAGTAAGGGCTAACTCCTCTATCCAAGTGGCGTTTAAACATCCTTGCTTTCCAGAACTCTCTCATACTGTTCTCACTTTGAGTATGCTGTCAGAAGCTGGTGGTCATTTTTTTTTTCAAAAGCTGCTGCTTAACTTTCTCAGATTCTCTGTGGAGAAATTTTAGGGCTCAAATTCAAGTAAATCTGCCCTTACTGTGTTTTTTTTCAGGTCTTCACCTTTGGTGCTGCCTCTTTGGGCTCCCTCAGCTGCACCCTCAAGTTGCCCTTCAGCTTTGTCTCTGTGGTTTGTGTCTGACTTCTCCCAGCTAAGGTCTGCCAGGAACTCACCAAGAACAGCAATCCTAACTGTGGTTGGCATCACCCGAAGTTTGCATAGCTAATTAGTTTCACCAAAGGAATTCTAAGAAAGATGAAAAATATTCAAGAAAGGGTCCTAAGAACTATGGTTTTTCAAGATTAGATAGCTTGCTGCATTGGACTGTTGACTAAAGAAATTGTGGAAAAAGTCAGGCAGTGGTGGTGCATGCCTTTTATCCCAGTCCATAGGAGGCAGAGGCAGCCAGACTGGTGCACAGAGTGAGTTCCAGGACAGCCAGGGCTACACAGAGAATATTTATCTCAAAAGATTTTTTAAAAGTGTGGAAAAGGGCCGGGCATTGGTGGCGCACGCCTTCAATCCCAGCACTTGGGAGGCAGAGGCAGGCGGATCTCTGTGAGTTCGAGGCCAGCCTGGTCTCCAGAGCAAGTGCCAGGATAGGTTCCAAAGCTACACAGAGAAACCCTGTCTCGAAAAACCAAAAAAAAAAAAAAAATGTGGAAAAATGTTATTGTATAGATGAGATAAATATTCTGTACATCAGAGAAAATTTTAGTGAAAAATTCAAACAAAACTTTTCTCCATGTTTCCACCGTTCCATTATGGCAAAGAGTCACCTCATGAGTCAGGTGTGTATGGGACCCAGCAGGACTAGGTCTTGCTTCTGATACTCTATGTTCAGGGAAAGTCCAGGCTGCTTGCTGGGTGTGTGTGTGTGTGTGTGTGTGTGTGTGTGTGTGTGTGTGTTTAATATGAGTAGGCCAGCTTAGGCTTCAGGCAGTGCTTCTCAACCTTCCTAATGCTGCAACCCTTTTATTCATTCCTCATGTTGTGGTGACCCCCAACCATAAAATTATTTTCATTGCTACTTCATAACTAATTTTGCTACTGTTATGAATCATACTGTAAATACCTGTGTTTTTCGATGGTCTTAGATGACCCCTGTGAAAGGGTCTTTCAACCCACCGGTTGAGAAACACTGCCTTTAGGTGAGAGACTGGTCCTCTCATACAAGGCTCACAGTTGGCCCACTTGATACAAGACACGTCTGGGACAGTGCTTTTCACAGTTGATTGTGTACCCCAGTTGCTGGGATGGCATAACATCCTAGGGGGCGTTGAGAGTCTGCCCCAGCGCCTGCCTACATTTTTGGGGGGCAGACTACACTAGAAGCAAGGTCTGGTTAGGGTCTGCTTCACATCAGAACCATCTGAGGGTTTTAAAAAGGCTGGCACCTGGGACCTATTTGTAGTGACTGTGATTGAATGGGGGAGGGCCAGGCCCTGAAGTTCGTACTGATAGATATGAGTCACCTACAGATGCCTCTGTACTGATAGATATGAGTCACCTACAGATGCCTCTGATTTGATGCCCGTGTGCAAGTAGTGTTAAGAGCCACTGCCACGAGATCGGCACGCTTTTGCTGTGACTCACGGCTAAAAATCTTCCTGTGTGGACACTGTAGCAACCCAGGAGGTACCTTAGGTGACCTTCTAAGATGTGAGTACAGTCAACTTTGTGGATGTATCTGTGAAGAAGAGATTGTTCTTAGTTAGCAGGTCCCTGGAGATGAGCTGAGTGTTGCTGTCAAGGGACACACCCAGAAAGAAAAATGGTCCTCTCCTAGAGATGTCCTGGGATACAGGAAGGAGGTGAATGTGAATGTGGTTATCTCTCAGCTCAGAAGACCCTTCATCCTTTGTGTCCCTGCACCAGGAGAGATCTAGCAGACAGTGCATTATGAGCACAATTCGGATGCTTTGAGTTTCTTTAGAAACATCTATATGTTTACTTCTTACTGTATCTCTATGTGTTTGTGTATAAATGCATGCACTGGTGAAATTTCCACACTGCTAGAATTCTAGCATTTACATGTTCCCTTTGCCAATTTTTAGTAAGTTTTAGACTATTTTCTGTTCATTTACTTGCTCTTCTACCCGAACTTAATGACTTAGGAACCTGGTGGAAGAACTGTTGCCATTCTCAGAAGCTTCCAGTGCTTCTGACAGTGATGATTCAGCTTGCTCAAAACCGTAGACCTGGGTTCAAAAGTTAACTGTTTCATTATTATCACAGAACAGTCTCAGCAAAACAGGAAACGACCATATTAACATTATGCTAATGACAACTTCTTAGAATACACTTCAGAGTTCATGGATTAAAATTGAATATAATTGTGCTGTTAATAAGTTGGAATTCTTGGGGCCAGCAATGTGGCTCCACATGTGAAGGTACTTACTGTAAGCATGATGACCTAAGTTGGATTCCCAGAACCCCCATGATAGGATAGAACCAACTCCCTCGTGCTGTCTTCTGACTTCAGCACATGTGTGCCATGGTACATGCACACACAAGCTTGTGTGTGCATTCACAGGTGTACATAAGCACACACTCTCTTGTTCTCTCTCTCTCGTGCACACATAAATGTTTTTAAAAAGTTGGAATTCTCTGCCTTCTCACTATACAGTCATAAGCTATAACTTGGTCTCTGTCGAGGCCACTTCCTTCAGTCAGTCACTCATTTGAAATCCAAATTAACTTCCTCACCCACCCTCACTTCTGCCTCTTAGAAAAAGGTCCATCTATGTGGAGACCTATCTATACCCACCTCTTGTCAGAGAATAAAGCCCAAGTCCCTGAGTGTCATTTTGAGCCTTCTGACTAGGGTCTATATTTTCTCCGCCCTCATGGCTTGTTACTTGCCCAGATGGGTCCTTGTCTGAGATTGAGAATCGGGGAGGAAATATTGGAGGCTCAGCCGAGAACAGATAGGTGAAAGGGTGAATTGGACAGAAGGATGGTAGGTGACACAAGGGACATGCGTGGTCACTGGGCAGCATTACCGGCCCACTGACCTCGTAACTGGATTTAAAGTGAAACCAGGGAGCATATGGCCTCTGTGGTATGGGTACAGGGCAAGGAATCCTCACATTCCTTGCATTCTGCCAGAACCTGACAAAGCCATTCCCTTTCTGGTCACTGCTTTTGTGCATGCTGGGACCACCCTGTGAAACACATTATCTTTTCCTGCCAAAATTATTATTATTATCATTACTATTATCATTTTCTTGTTTTAATTATTCTTCCCTCATATATCACATCCTGAAACAGCAGTTTCACCTTCTTCTCCTCCCCCCAGTCTCTCCACCCCCACCTCAACTCTCCTCAGATTCACCCTCCCTCTGTCACCCCTCAAAAAGAACAGGCCTCTCAGGGACATCAACCAAACATGACATAATATGCTACTATAAGACCAGGCACATACTGTCATGTCAAGGCTGGATAAGGGAACCCAGCCACAGGAAAAGGGTCCCATAAGTAGGTAAAAGAAAATTCTTCTAACAACCTAGATGCCCCTCAACTGAAGAATGGATAAAGAAAATGTGGTACATTTACACAATGGAGTACTACTCAGCAGTAAGAAACAATGACATCCTAAAATTCCCAGGCAAATGGACAGAACTAGGAAAAACCATCCTGAGTGAGGTAACTCAAAACCAGAAAGACAAATATAGTATGTACTCACTCATAAGTGGATACCAGACATAAAGCAAAAGATACCCAGTCTACAATCCCCAGAGAAGCTAGAACCCTCTTCCAGAAACAGATGGAAGCAGATGCGGAAATCCACAACTAACCAATGGCCAAGCTCCTGGAGTACAATTGAAGTGAGGGCAGAGCAATAATATGGACAAAGGAGTCAAGACCATGAAGGGGAAACCCACAGAATCAGCTGACCTGAGCGTGAGAGATCACTGACTCAGGTCTGACAAATAGGGAACCTGCGTAAGACCCAACTAGACTCTCTTAATATAGGTGACAATGGTGTGACTAGCACAATATATGAGGCCACTGGCAGTGGGTCCAAGATCTAAAACTAATGCACAAACTGACTTAATGGAGCCCATTCCATATGGAGAGATACCTTGCTCAGGCTAGACACAGGGGTGTAGGGGGTGGAGAGGTGCCTTGGTCCTGCCTCAAAAAGATGAAAAGATAGACTTAATAGACTTCCTAGAGGAGGCCTTACCCTCTCTGAGGGGTAGGTGGAAGGTGGAGGGGGTGGGAGGAGCCAACAGAGAGGAGAGAGGGGGAACTGGGATTGGAATGTAAAAAGTAAATTAATAAAAAAAATCTTTTCTCCTAAATTTTGGTCAGTTTTAATTCTTGTAATCTTTAAGAAAAAAAGGATCAATAAGCACAATAACCAGCGCTAGTCAACCAAGAGTGACCCACGAGCACCAGCAGTCAGCATACAGAAGATGGCGCTTAGGAAACATTTAACAAGTTTGTGGCTTCATACTTCCAAAGATTAAAACAGCAGAGTTATTCTTTGATCAGACAAAACATACGGCCATAAGTTCCTTAAGGGAACTGGAAAAAAATTATGAAATGCTTCACAGATTTGTGTGTTGCTTGCCCAGAGGCCATGCCAATCTTTTCTGTATCGTTCCAGTGTTAGTACATGTGCTGCCGAAGTAAGCACACACAAGAAGAAAACAAAACAAAAAAACCTTTCTTTTGTGGAGACTGCTACTGACAATTTTCTCCTTATTTCCCTTCATCCTCCTGATACTTGGTCATCTCCCTCCATTCTTTCCCACTATGGGTACATTTGTGCAACAACTCGGCCATTACGCTTTTCTCTACCATGTTGTGCATTCAGCAGTGGTTAAGTTGTGAACTTTTAATCTCGGTTTATAACTGAGAAATATATAGCTAAAAGTTACATGCTTTAATTTTTATTATGTCTTTCCTACCAAATATAAATTCATAACGTGCTCTTTCCAAATAGTAAAAGATACCTACGTATGCATAGATGTAGATATACCTATCTATATTAAAAATGGGAAAAGTAAAAACTGTCGAAGACTATTCATAAATATTAAATATACGAGATAAAAATATTATCTTAAAATAAGCTAGAAAAATTCAGGTGATGGTGGCACACACATTTAATCCCAACACTCAGGAGGTAGAGGCAGGCAGATCTCTGAGTTCAAAGCCAGTCTGGTCTACAGAGTGAGTTTCAGGACAGTCAGGGCTACACAGAGAAACTGTGTCTCAGAAAAAAAAACAAAAATCGAACAAAGAAAACAAAAAAAATCTTCATGGGGGCTGGAGAGATGGCTCAGGGGTTAAGAGCACTGACTGTTCTTCCAGAGGTCCTGAGTTCAATTGCCAGCAACCACATAGTAGCTCACAACCATCTGTAGTGGGATCTGGTGCCCTCTTCTGGCCTGCACTGTATACATGATAAATAAATAATCTTTTAAAAAAATCTTCATAGAAGCCTGCATAATATGCATGGTTTGTCTGCTCTGTTTCATGAAGCCTGCTTGGTTAAAAGCAAACAGGTTGAAGCCCCAGAATCACATGGGTCAATATGGAACACACATATACTCAAGTTACACTAAAACTTTAACTATAAAAAATAGTTTGAGAGTTTATTTTTTTCAATCATGTGAAAAGCCATGGAAATTTTAACCTCTGAAACAGTTTTATATAGTTTACAAATAAAAGCCAAACAGAAATTAACGTCTGCCATTTTTTTTCTGCAGTGATGCCCTATCTTATTCAGGCTGTTGTAACAAAATGCCAAAAGCTAGGTGGCTTAACAAACAAGGAAAGTTTATTCTTCACAGTTCCAGTGGTGGGGAAGCCCAAGGTCAAGACATGAGCAGATTGATGTGTGGTGGGGAGGGGGGAGGAGCGTCTGGTTTTTCCACTTGTACTTTCTTGGCTGTGCCCTTGCATGGCAGAATGGAGTTGGTCTAGGACTGTTTGGTAAAGGCATGAGTTCCAGCTGTACTCTCATGATGTAATGCCTTCAGAAGGCCTCACCTTAATAGGGTCACCTTGGAGGTTAGGGTTTCATCGTATGGGTTTGTAGGTTGCAGACATTGAAGTCATAAAGTGTAATGATTCCACATCAGTCCAGGGGAGTGAGGAGACTTAGGGTGCTCGTCCTTTTTAAGCTTTAGTTTCTCTGTGTACGAGATAGGGGATTTGGTTCAAATTACCACCAAGGTCATTTTGACTCAAGTGTGATTTGGGAAAGTTAGGAAGCACAGCCTGTAACCATGGTGAGGCTAGATGACCGGTGAATCTGAAAATACATAATTTTCTCCTTCTCTCTAGCAGCAATGCTTTCCATTGACTAAGTCACTCTGTGTATATCCCCTTAATAAACCAACCTCTTGATTTTTTTTAAAAAAAGAAAATGCCAGCTGCTCAATAGTGAATGGAAGAGCATTGAGAAATACCAAACAAATGAGTCTCACCTCTGTATTAAATAGAGATCTGCATTATTGCGCTGTTTTTCTTCCCTGTTGCAGGTATTCAGAAAGCAATGGGTGATGATTTCATAAATTTAGAAACTATTTCACATCCGTTCCTGCTGCCTTTGTGTTTATGTGAGAATCTCATTAAAAATATATATGATTTATTCTCCTAAAATATGATTTCCTTCATTTTTGCCTTTCTACAGGCAGCAGGTTTGTGTCTATAAATACAGATTTTTGTCAAGATCCTTTCATTGGTGGTCATTTTTCTCCATCAGCGTCTAGGTAATCTACTTAGACAGTACCACATTTGACCCTCCTGGTTTCCTGAAGTGTGGTCTCATCCATTTTGTCCTTGTGCCCTCCAATAGCCACTGTGGTGCTGCAAGACTTGTGGCCATGCTCCTTAGGGACTGTGCCCTGTCAAGAACACTGCTCCTCACATGAGCATCCTTACCTAGTCGGGACAAGCACGAGACAGGAGTGTCTCACTGTGTGCTGACGTACATTCCAGACGATCAAGGCCTCTAACATAGAGACTTAGATCATTAGATGAACGTTGCTCAAGGAGATAGCAGGAAAGCCAGCTGTGGCAGTGCCCCTCCTATCACTTGGGGGGGTGGAGACGGGAGGGTCCAGAGTTGTAGGCCAGCCTTAGAGGCAGCCTGGGCTGCATGAGACCCTGTGACAAAACAAAACAACACAAAACTAATGGCAACAACAAAACAAGGAGGGGAGATTTTATTTTTTTTTCACTGTTTTATTCTACAGTAGCACGTTTATTGGAAGTGTTGTATACTGACCAGCTGTGGGAGATGAGAGGGTTGCTCACCCTCTCTGAGTTTTAGTTCCCTGTTCTGTAAAGTTTGGGTCTTATTTCTAAAATGCATTTGGTTCTAAGCCTACTTATGTTCATCTCATGTCTGTCTCCCCCTGTTCTCTCCTCTGTTCTTCCATTCCTCCTAGCTTCATCTAAGCTTACTGGGGACAATCTGTGCTTTACATTTAATCAGCTTCCCCTTGCTTCTCATGACTTTTCTTTAAATCGGTATGGTTCAATTTTTTGTTTGTTTGTTTTTTGTTTGTTTGTTTGTGGAGATTTTTAGAAAGCATTTATTACTAATTAGTCCATTTATTTTCTAGCCACGTTGAGATGAGTTAACTCACCAACTCAGTTTGTTTTGCTTTTATACTTGGAAAATGGTCTAAAAAGGAAACCGTTCTTATTTTTATGGAAATTATAATTAAACACATTCCCCCTTGCAGGCATTTTTGAACATCTTTATCAAAGAGAATCAAGCCAATTGGATGCTATTGACAGCAGAAACTAAAGAAAAAGTTTGCCATTTACCTACCTTCCTGCCATCAGTGCAGAATATCCTACTGAGTGCTTCCAAGCTGTTAAACCAAAAAGAAGATTGACAGCCCCCAAACCCTGTAGAAATGGACTAGAAAATAGTCTGCAATAGGGCCACTTACTCCTTGAAGAAATGTGTATTGAGTTGTCTGCTAGGTTGCCTATGGCATGTTGTCATGTACAACAGACATTCTTAACCTTACAGAGTTGATTTCTCTACTATTAGGAATCAGGATTTTCAGTAAGCATGAGTATTATCATGTTTTTCACAAGGGAGTAAGAGCTATGGAATATGAAAACTGGAGCAGAAAAGGAAGAACCCAGGGGAAATGGGCAACAGAGAGCTTGGTTGTAGTCTTAAGCACCTATGAATAGGCTAAATTCCCAGGCTAAACAGATTTTCTAGGTGCACTCAAAGTTAAATATCTTAAAATAGGAGATGTCCCTTAAAATAGAAAAATCGCATTGGTTAGTTTATGGAAGTGTCCAGAACTTGGCATGGTTTGATTGCAAATCAGCATAAAGGGGCCCATGGGGAAGCATAAGAAGGACAGAGAAGAGCCTTGAAGAAATAGATCAGTTTTCCACTCACTGGCCCCAGAGACCCAACAGAGACTGAATCCAGCCCCAAACCAGAAGCAACCCAAAGATGCTCAGTGGGACTTCAGAAAGGTTCCACTTGAGAATCTAAGTGAAAGACTTAGCCGATGCAACAACCAGGTTTGTGACCTACAGAACTGACATAATAAGTGGTATTCTTTGAGGCTCCTCTTTCTGTAGAGATTTGACGTAATTGAACACCCACAGGGTTAGGGAGTTGGCCAGGAGAGCCCCAGGCAAGAGAGAAAACAAGAACCAAGTTCCCAGGTAGTATACCTGAGGGGCTGCAGGGTGGCCACTGTGACTAGCTAGAATGCAGAAAACAAGGGCTTGAGTGAGAAATGAGGTCAGAAGGGGTTAACCTTGAGATGGCAAGTTGTCTAGGTGGACTCACCTATTTACACTAGTCCCTAAAAGCTGAGAACTTTTGCACGGTGGTCAGAAGCTGTGCAACTGTGGATAAATGACCAGAAGCACCGTTGCTGACTGAAGATGGAGGAAGACATGGGCCTGGGAGAGTGTGTGTGGCCTCTAACAAATAGACATGGCACCGAAGCCTGGTCTCCTCTATATCCTCAAGACTGCCAACACCTACCTGACCATAAAACTATAAAATAATAAACTTTAACTTGGGTAATTTATGACAGTAGGCAAAGAAAATCCACAGAGCAAACAGCTGGATATAAGAATCTGTAAAAAGAGAGAGGCAGGAGTTTGAAGGCACAGAGGTAGCATTGGAAGTCTTGGCTGAAGGAGATCTCCAGGACCATGTGTAGAGACAGGACGGAGAGGCTCTCCACATCTTTTGCTCTGCAACAATTCGCTGCTGGCCAGGTGCTGCATATGGTGTCTTAAGTCTATTTCGAGACTGTGCATGTGTCAGAATGACTCAGTGGGCTTCTTCTAGTATTCCATATGGTGGTTATTCCATGTGGTCATGGTTGGGTAAGGCCAGAGTGGACAGTGTAAGAAGAGCATAAAGCTAAAATGAAATACTGACAAAGACTGGACTGAAAAAGTGTGCCAAGAGATTTGAGGGAGTAAATAGTGCCCAGTATAGAATGCACTAATTGACAAAACAAAAACAGCAAAAGTTCTGCTAGAATTTGAACAAACCATAACCAGTTCTGCATTAAATTTTGAAAGATTTATTTTTTAAGGTGTTTTGAATGTCTTACCTTGATATTTGTCTGTTCACCACATGTGTGCCTGGTGCCCAAATGGTCTGGTTTTGTGCCAGCACAT